ACTGATTGTGTAAGAATAATAATCTTGTTTTCAGAATGTGTAAGATTATTTGTCTTGTTAAGGGCTCGACACACGGGGAGCAACAAACTACAGCGATTTAACGGCTGTCATCGCAGCCAGCGTGAAACCCGACACACGGGATGCGATAGCGATCGCAGCGTTGCGAATCGCGCTCTCAGATCACTTGTTTTCACAAAATTTGATTGGTTCTTGACTCTGAAGGGGAGTGTGCATTACGGACGTGTAAACTAAACAAATCTTGCGATGCTAATGATATTGAAAAACAAACACACATCAAGATACAGTTTTATGAGGAAAAACTTACCATAAACTTCACTCTGGTGCCAATAAATTCCCACAAAGCTTTTTAGTAATCACTTGGTGAAAGCGTTAGCTAACTGCAGTGTGTAGCATACTCTCCTCTCATTGGTCAGTCAATGAAACCCTCGCTGATTGGTTGTACGCTAAGCGACAAAAGTTGAACATTTTTCAACTTTCATCTGTCGCGTCGCAAGCTCGCGTGTGCACGTCTACGTGTACGAGCGTGAAATTTCACATGCACTATTTTCGCCGGTCGCTTAGATGGAGGAGGGCAAGCGATTGTCGCTTCACCGCACAGGCTCCATAGGAAATGAATGGAGAGCGAGCGACGTCGCCTCCCGTGTGTCGAGCCCTTAAGTCTGAAAATTTGACTCAAATTAAGTCAAAAATTTCTGTCAATGGAGTAAGAAAATTTTACTTGGTAAGATTCTTGAAATAAAGAATTGAGTCAAATCAAGTATTTAAACAAGATTATTATTCTTACACAATCAGTTCTTGTTTAGTAAATCAGTCTCAAAACAAGATCAAAAAGACTTTTTGGCTGAATATAAGGTTTTGAAACTTGGTTAGGTGGACATTTTTTGAAGTGAAAAACTGCTGTTTTTTTATTTACCTAACCTCTTGGTTATTGTTTCCTTCTTCCCCCTCCTCCTTCCTGTCTCGTCACCTTATCTCCTTACCTTTTTATCCATTCCACTCACACACACTGCTCCAGCAGTCCTCATCAGCCGTGCAAAATGTGTGTGTGGATGTAGGCTTTGTGCACGGAGCTGCCGTGTCTCTGTGTCGTACCACAAATTAACCCATGTGTCTCAATCACTAATGATCCATGTGACTGGACTGCGCATGTGTGGAGGTGCGGGGGGGCGGTGGTGATCATCAGCCTATCCCGGCGCAGCGATCCCCTCGGGCTGTCAGGGAGCATCGGTGATGTCATCCCGGAGCCGCGTGCGCCCGCCTTCGTCCAACGCAGCCGGCTGATTACTGGAGGAGAGGAGAGGAAGAGCAGCGATCAATCTGATGATCAGGCCACGAGTCGACATTTTCTTTCTGATCCACCTCCAAATGAGTTCCCAATCTCACTTCACTCCTTGAAGGTTGTTGATCTTGTGTGATGATGCTGAATGTCACGCAGCCCTGCTGCAGAACACAACAATGCTTCTATCAGATGAATGAGAAATGATCCTGTGCAGGAAGAAAAGCAGGCTGTTTGATGGGAATTAAGAGTTTCCTTCAGAAAGGCTGTTCAAACCTTTTTCTTGGAAATCTAAGATGCTGTGAGTGGACTGATTTTACCATCATAGCAGGTGCAATCAGCAATATTCATAAATGACATAAAAAGAGTTCAGTACAGATTCTAGGCCAGAAATCTTTTTTTTTTTCAGTTCCTGCAGATTTCTGATGCATCATCGTCAGTATGCAGCTGTGCCCAACTTTTACATGAGTCTTGTTAGTGTACTAATATCTTTGACATGATGATTCTAAAATATAGCCAGCATAGAGAACAGATAATAACTCGTGATTGTATTGTTGAGCATCTACATTTGTACCTTATTTTAAGACCTGGCAAGTTTTTAGTATGACTATAATTACTGAAAATGACAAACATCTTTTAATTCAACAAGCTGTTATTCAAAAAGTTTAAAAAAGGCCATATTTTTTCGTATTTGAGCAGATTTTGACATGATTTTTTATTTACATCTAAATAGAGAAGGCAACATATTCAAGTTAGAATAAAAGGCCACTGTTCTGTGCAGGTTTTATACACCAAGATTTGGTTCTAATATTTGTGTATTTTATAAAAGTTTTTATTTCTTTATTTGTCTTATCTCAGGTTGGATACAACAAACCTTCCAGAACCAGCTGGACTCTTTAAGAGTTTTAACTTTTTATGATTCACTCTTTATATATA